TCTGAGAGAACATCTGAGCAGTGTTCCTGATTTCCTTTCTGAAGCACAGAATAGATGAATGAGGGACTACGGATGGGCAGGCACCTTGACTGTCAGGTCACAGATTCTCTGCCTGGTGAGTGATCACTCCGGGTCACCTCTTCAAAGTTATTTTAGCTGCTGAAAAGTCAGGGCTGAAGACTTTGTTCCCCACGAAAGAAAGCTCAAATACTGAACTAAGATTTCACAGAAGGCTCACGTAAGTATGAAAGCAAGGGAATTACAAAAACAGAACTGAATGACACATATCAAAGAAGTATAAGATTCTGGGGAGCTTTTATAGAACTTAAGCTGGCCAGAGAGACCCAACTCCTACAGCAGATGAGCTCTAACAGATGTAAGCACAACGTACAGCAGGCAAGAGACCCAAGGAGCAGATAAGGGTGGAGAAGATGGAGTAAGGGAACTATTATATACAGGCATCTGGCCCAGGTATGGATACCAGTAGCCAGGGAGTAATTAGTGAAAAGCCTCACTCACTAGACAGCATCACTGAATTTCCAAAAGATAAGCGAGAGTGTGTGGGAGAAACAGGATTCTGCCTAGAGGTGGGGAACAGGAGGGGGCTGCATCAGTGATCGCCAGGTGCAGTGACTACCATCAGGGGAAAGGGACCAGATGCTGTCTTTGTTGCCTGTCTCCCAAAGTCCAGGGTAGTAGTAAGATTATTTTATACATACAATAATCTACGGCCATTAGTCAGGAGTACTCTGGACCCAGCACTATCTTATTTAATAGTAGTTAGGAATCAAATCAGTATCAGACTACAAAGAAAACAGAGGCTCTCCTCAAAGGCATTTATATAACCAACACAAGCCATAAAAAACTAAGCAAGCAAGATAGCAGGTGAAGAAGGTTTAACTCTTGTAATGGTGACAATGGAGGGATATTCGATTGTATAACCTAGGATGTAACCATAGAATAAATTATTTGTTTCATCAAGGCATTAGGGGAAGAGAGGGCATGAGCTCTTAGGAAACATTCAACCTAAATGTTACTCATTTTGCTCTAAACTCCATGCTGGTCTATAAAACACTTTGAACCTCAGCACAGAGAAAGCGACATTCCAAGGAGCTTGAGCAGGTCTATCTGTACACCACAAGCTTGGAGGAATGCAGCTTCTCCAGCATTTGTACACATCTGTGTAATAAGTAAGACAAACCAAACACTAAGCTTTTGTTGGAAAAATACAACTGTGGAGAATGTGTGATGTTAAGACTAGATGCTCGTCAGGCCAAGAATTCCCCACAGCCATCAGCCCTGACCAAGGGCTTCCTGCCCCATGTCAGCTGAAGCGTCTTCTTTCAGTGCCTGCTTCAGAGTGGTTTCTCCCAACAGCGTAAAAGAAATCTCATTGTATCTCAGCTGGTGTTGACAGATGTCTCGAGCAGGGAAGAAATAAAGGCAATTCAGTTTTGTCCTTCTGCAAAAATATTTTACCTAGAGCCTATCGTATGTCTTTGCTGCAGATAATATATTTAAGTCACCTGGATTCTTCCTTTGAAAAACAATATCTGTGGAAACTCAAACACTTAAGTATATCAATTTTAAAGAACTAGTCTCAAAAAAAGAAAGATAAGCAGGGTCCTAAAATGTGTATTTATTAACTGTAGTTTCCCACTGTGATAAGAATTACTGTTTGGTCTCAGCCAGCAATATATTTCAAATGTGGGAAATTAATAAAATGCATTCCACTGAGAATCACGTAGAGCAGAGTGATCACACGCCCAGTGAGCATTTCTCATTTCTCATTTCTGATAAGGAATGGAATCTGCTTATCCCGAAATTCATTTGCCCACTGGTACCAAATACCTCCTCCCCACCTGCAGGCACCATGAACAGTACTTTGTCCTCTATGGCAGGACTCTGCAGTTCAAGGTCTTTCATAGTTGACTGGCTTATCTATGAATTCTGCAAGTTGGGAGAGAGATGGAGTTGATATTGTGTGGAAACAGAGATGTGCTCAGAGAGAGGATTCCCCCATGCTGCTGATGGAAATGGTCCCTGAAAATAACCAAAGCATCCTGAGTGCTGGCTGGGACAAGAGTGTCCCTGCACTTGACATGTTGTTTTACAAGACCCTTTGAACTTGCATTTCTGTCCCCTCACTTTTTCTGTATGCACCAGAGTCACCCTGCCTGCAGTCTCTCCTAGCCACTGCCTTGAGACGAACCTCCTGATCATGCTCTCACCATGTCAGACTCTAAAACATCTTTCAAGCCAAAAGTCCAGAGTCCTTGCTCAAGCTCTGTGGCTCAGCATAACTCAGCCCTACTTTATTCCCCTCTGCTCCTGAGCAGCACCAAACTGGCCTGAGTAGACATGCTTTGTTATCCCTCATCAGTTTTTCCCTGTTTTTCCCAGAAACATATCCCTTCTCAACATACTTATATAGTATGTGTACTAATTATTTTTTGTGTCTCCCCCATCGGAACACAAATTCCCCACAGCAAGGATTCATATTTGTTTTGTACTGCATTCCAAGTGGTTCACAAAGCCCAGAAAAGAGAGAGCTCTGGGTGGAACGAAGAAGCAGGTCAGGTTGGACTGGGAGGTCCCACAGATGACAGAAGAGCTTCGGTGTTCCTGTCGTGTGAGGCACAGAGCCTCCGAGGCTGGGAGCCTTCTCAGGCAACAAGCAGCCCTCCAGAGCTATCTTCCTGATTTATCAGATAGGGCATAGACAGGGGCTATCGTCCCTATTTGTCTAAAGTCCTTGCCACTTCCTGGGTCCCTTCCTTCCCTGGGGTCATGCCCAGCACAAAGCTGTCTGAAAACCATCAGAACCACAGCATGTAAGTTGTGCTAGGCAGCAAGTGCATTTTCCCTTCTACTACTCATAACATTAGGAACTAGGTTCTATTATGCCCATTCAACTGTTGAGGAAATAGAGGTTTAAATAGTAAGAATATGTCTGCTCTGGAATGCAGGTTTCCAATTTCAATACCTATGCTCTTTATCACTTAGCCAGGATTCCCACCAGGCAAAGAGATCAAGGAAATCTAAGCAGTCCCTCATGAAGAGTCAAGGAAAGGAGTTGCTGAGATCTTGAAGAAAACATACCTAGCTCTAACTTGCTATTATTATCAAATCCCTATGCAATAAATATGAAAATCATTTAACCCTGATGTAACCAGAGATGCCATTTCCACATGATCAGACCCTGGGCTTCAGATGACCTGAGAGAGTATCAGAGTGCTTAAGCCTCCTCACCTTAAGAGCAGCTAATCAAAACATCCTGATTCTATTCTTGCAGCTCCTTCCCTGCCACACTAACTTCCACTTATTCAAATATCTGAGCATCTGCTCCACACCAGGTATTGTCCTAAGAATTGGGATTATAGCAGGTTACACAAAGGACACGGTCCCTGCTCTGCTGATGCTTAATATCTGGCAAGAGTGCCAAGTAAAAAGTAAACAACATGATTGCCGATGATAAAAGCTGGGAATAATGAGACAGAGTGGCAGAATGGAGGGGGGCTCATTTGGAAAGCCCCTTTTTGGGGTGGTGACGTTTGAATTCATACCCAAATGACAAGAGGGAGTCAGCCTTCAAAGCTGCAGGATCTACCTTATACTTGGTGGGCTGAGCTGGACATTGCAATTATCTAGTCTCAGCTCCTTTACAGGTGAGTGAAGGGAAGCTTACTAGATGACAAGACTGCGTCAAGGTCTCCCAGCTGACTGAGAGCTTTTGTCTGCCCACAATCTCACAGAACCTTTGGATACTTGCATTTGAAATGCAAGCACCTTGTTTGTACTTTTAATCCCCTCAAAAACATCCTATTGATAATTTAATTTTCAGTACAGCCTTGGGGAAGATAAGAGACCTTCATTTGATAAATGATGAAACTGAACCAGCCGGTGGCAAAGTGACTTATCTAGCGGCTATCACTAACAACCAAATCAAAATGCAGGTCATTTATATTCCAGTCTGGTGTTCTTTCCCCTGGAGGGGAAGGAGCTGTCTAGCCAGTGGTCTCTCAACATAAAACATCATTAGTAGCAGCTTCATAGTTTATGGTGCAAAGAACATACAAAAGAGTCAAAGATAAGAACAATTTACTTAGTCATAACACACAAACTCAAAGTCCCTGAGTTATTTGCTACAGGAAAGAACATGTGACTCTAGGTGACTAGACACCCGTGGCCTGAGACAGTCAACCCTTGTGACTGCTGAGTGCACTTCGGTGCCACACTGAGGGGACAGCTAAGGGAGAAAGTGTTCTTTCCGAGGAGCCAGCCCAGGCCAGGGGTCTCCTTTGCTGCTGAGCCCTTATGTGAAAGTCACATTGAAGTCCCTTGACTCTTCTTAGGAAGCAAGTTACTAGTGGCTCTCAAGCCTGCCTGCACACCAGAATCATCTGAAGGAGTGTTAGAAAAGCGAAGATTTAGAAACTGCAGAGGGTAGAGCCTGGGGAACTTTGTTTTAAAAATCAGCCAGTCTAGAAATCCACTGGTTTTTCCTCATTCCTTAGTGCTGTAACTTGACAAAAAGAGAAGAGATGACTGTTTTTAATAATCCAATGGGAAAATTAAATTAGGCTTTAAGGGCTGCTTCCAGAAGAAAATCTCAAGTACCCAAAGCTCTCGCACAGTGGGAAGTCCCTGTGAGTGCCTGTCTGGTGACCTGTGAAGTCAGTCGTCTCACTCTCTTTGGCTGCACATCAAACCCCCAGGCAATACTGGGAAAAGCTTTTTCTGAGGATCAGTTTCCCAGCTCCTGCACCAAGCAGACCCTAACCCGCAAGGGCCGGGGAGTGACAGGCAGAGAGAACCTCTGAGTGCACGATCCCTCCCCCCACCACTGCCCCCGCGGGCACTGGGTCCTCCCCTAGGGGGCCTGTTTTCTGCCCTGGGTAGCCAACTACCCCTTGGAAAAGGAAAAAGGGAAGGAAGGAAAGTGGTTCAGCCCCAGGTGGCCGGCACCCTCAGGCAGGGGACACAGAGGCAGTTCTTACCCGGGCCTGGGAGGAAGAGGTGCCACTCTGTTCACTCAGGAATCCGCTCTCTGCTGGTGAGCTCTAGTCTTGGAACTCACTGGACTTTGGACAAAGATTGATTTAAAAGTTGATATATTTAACAGGGACTTGTGGTCTGAATTCAAGTGACCTCTGTCCTGCTTCCTGCCAGCTGGTGGGCCCTGAGCTGGCAGACCTGAAAAGCCCTCCCTCTGACCCGCCTGCCCACCCAGCCGTGTAGGGCTGCTGCCTCCCCTCAGAGAAGAGGAGGGAGAGACAGAGGGAAAGAAAGCCAGGGAGGAGCCACCTCTAGGTGCCTTCCCCGCTTCTCCCTTGGGCAGATGCCTCTGGACACCCACCCAACAACCAGTGCCTCCACTGTACCCCATGGCGGGGGCACAACCTGGGCAGCCCCCACCCAGCAGAAGGCCACAGATCCCAGTAATGGGGTGAAACCCCTCCTGTGCCCACCCTCTCCCCCTCCACCCTGGGAGTTCTTAATCACGGGCTCCCTAGTTCAGCCCACAAAGCCCCTGCTCTTACTTCCCAGGCCCCCTTCCTCTTCTTACACTCTCTCTCTCCTTTTTAACTCCCTCCCTCACCTGAGGGTCTTCTGTTTATTTCCCAATCTACTGACAATTGCCCTCCCCTTCCAGATGCTCAAAGCCTCTCAGGCAAGCCCAGTGGTGAAGGCGGAAGGCATTTCTGCGAGCTTGTGCCCACACTGCCTCAGCAGCGGGCGGGCAGTGCCCTGTGCTGGACCCCTCGCTGGGGAAGGAGCTGATGTCTATCAGCAGCACCCACACAGGCAACCTGTGGCTTCTCCCTGACCTGCAGAAATGAGGACAGAAGATTGCTCCAGGCAGCATGGCAATGCAAACCACAGGCTGAGGACAGGGCAGCCTCGTGCTCCTCCACCCACACTGGAAGGGTCACTTGTCTTACCAGGGCCTTAGCTGCCCCAACAAAGGCATGACCCTCAGAGGGAAAATGTCGAAAATGACAAACATCTGAGGAGCTGACTCAAGCCAGGTCATCTCCACATTGACACTAAGTGCCCTGGGCCTCCTGTGCATCTTCCAAAGTGGAAGCGTAGAAGGGGAAAATCTGGATTCAAGATCAGAACACCTGGGTTCAAATTCTGACTCTGCAGTACCCAGGTGTTTGATCTGGAGTAATTCACTTTTAACTCCTAGTTGCACTTACCTTTATCCTCTGTAAATAGTTGGTATTATATTGTCTTTAGAAATTTCTTTTTTTACATTGAATTAAAATAGCTCTCACCTCTGCACATAAATCCTAACTGTTCCCTCTGGAACTACACTAAATCTATTCTTTACAGTATTCTACAAAGCAGCTTTTCAAATATTTAAAGGCAGTTATATCCCCCATAAGCCTTTTCTATGGGACTCAATGAATGCTTCTTATTCCATAAAGTGTTCTGCCTATTACATGACTTCAAGACCTCATCGTGATAACATCCAAAATATATAAAGAACTCATACACCTCAACACCAAAAAACAAATAACCCAATTAAAAAATGGGTGGAGAGCCTGAACAGACAGTTCTCCAAAGAAGAAATACAAATGGACAACAGGCACATGTAAAGATGCTCCACATCGCTAGTCATCAGAGAAATGCAAATCAAAACCACAGTGAGATATCACCTCACACCAGTTAGGATGGCCACTATCCAAAAGATGAGAAATAAGTGTTGGCAAAGATATGGAGAAAAGGGAACCCTCCTACACTGTTGTTGGGAATGCAAATTGGTGCAACCACTGTGGAAAACAGTAGAGGTTCCTCAGAAAACTAACAATAGAAATACCATATGACCCAGTAATTCTGCTTCTAGGAATTTATAAAACAAAATCCCTGATTCAAAAAGATATGCACCCCTATGTTTATTGCCACATTATTTACAATAGCCAAGATATGGAAACAACCAAAGTGTTCATCAATAGATGAATGGATAAAGAAGAGGTGGTACATATACACAATGGAATATTATTCAGCCATAGGAAAAAAAAAATCCTGCTATTTGCAATAAAATGGATGGGCCTAGAGTGTAATATGCTGAGTGAAATAAACCAGGCAGGGAAAGACAAATACCATATGATTTTACTTATTTGTGTAATATAAAAACAAAGCAAAACAGAATGAACAAAACAGCAGGAGACTTATAGACACTGAGAAGGGACTGGTGGTTACCATGGGGGAGGGGTTGGATTGCATGGGTGGAGAAGGTGATGGCATGAAGGGGCACAAAAATTCACAATCACAATATAAGTTGGTCACGGTGACGGTAGCACAGAATGGAGAATATAGTCAATGATTCTGTAACATCTTTCTATGTTGATGGACAGTAACCACACTAGAGGGAATGAGGATTTCATAATGTGGGTAACTGCTGAACCACTGTGTTGTACATTTGAAACCAACACAGATTATATATCAACAATACTTCAATAAAAAAAGTAAAAGAGACCTCATCCTGGACCCCACCCCAACTGTCAATGCCCCCCTTAAAATCAAGGGTCTAAAAGGAAACTTTAAGGTAAACGAATCATTGTGCATTTGTCTGCAATTACCAAATTTGTCAACCTGTATGCATAAAATAGGTGAATTATATTGCATGTAAAGAAAAACCTTAATTTTTAAATTAAGGAGCCTAAGTCAGTAAAATTTATTCTTGAAAGTTATAATATTTAAAAAGTTGTGTGACAAAAACAAAAATAAAAAGAAAGCCCTCATAGTGGAGCTTACACTTAGTCCCTAATCAAGAGACTTCTTAGACTTGCCCTTCATTCCAGCACAGATGGAACAAATAGCCACAAGACTTCAGACTGGAAATAGAAGAGGCCTTGAAATGCAGACAATATTGGTTCAAAATCCAATAGAAATGAGCAATTTTTAAAAATTACAAAACCCTTTCCCAGTGGAATGTTGAACTGAATGAAATTTGCCCTCATTAAAATTTGGATTTTAAAAAATCTTATGCCTCTAAGTGTTTCTGATCCGATTAATGCAAAGCAGAGTACATCATTTTACTTCTTACTTAGACCTAGACATCAATAGAAAGGAAGACAACATTATCTCTGATGTGCCTGGTAGGTCTTTATACCCATTATTCTGTTTAACCCTCATTATGACACTATGATGCTATTTCCATTTTATAGATTAGAAATTTTCAATTCCTCTGGTTATAATAAATATCCTGCCAAAGATCATCAGGCTCAGAAGGAGCCAATTTGTCTCCTTAGGTAGTGTTGACTCATCTCTACAAAAAGGCCTCCCACCATCCAGGGAAGGAATATGCTCTCCCCTAGAGGTATTCAAGCAGAGTCTGACAGTCATCCATGTCATGTTACAGAAGGATGTCCTTTATTGTTACAGAGACTGGAATAGAGGGTTTCTTGGGTCCCTTCCAACTCTAAGATTCTGTGATCCTTAACACCATGTGTCCTAAAGCAACTCTGCCTAATGTAAGGTTGAAGGCACTGGGGGGAGGGGGGAGCACGTCGACACTGATGACGTGCCAAAGTCCCTGGCTGCTGCCCCCTCCCAAGCTGAAAAATGTGCCTTGCGCTAGCCAATCCTTGCGCCGCTGTAAATCTATGCTCTGCCTCCACCTACCATCTTTAAAAACTCTCTGCCTGCCCTGCTGAGTGTGACTTCCCCGGCCTGTGTTTCAGACCGAGGAACATCACCCAGAGATTGCGTTCAAATAAACTGTCTGGCCTTTTGTTGCCTCTCATCGCCTGCTTATTTCGGCTAGAATTTATCTTACACCTATGAGGGTGTGTGGTTGTAAATCCTGGTTCACATGCAGAGGGCATGTAGATAAGAGTTATGAGCATGGGCTTTAGCATTCAAACAGACGCTGTATTGCAGTGAATCCTAAGTCTGCCATTCACAGTTTTGTATTTTTTTATTGTGAGCTCAAGTTTGTTTGGGCTTACATATCGTCGGGGACCCTTGGCAGCCTAGGGGAGGGTCTTCTTTCATTCTTATAAAGTAGCCCCTCTCCATACCCCTAGAATGAGGAGGAAAGTCACTAACAACCTGGGTCAATTTATGTTCCTTCCCTGCCTTAGTGTTTCTAGATCATGTGAATAATTAATGTCAGTTACAACCCCAACCCCTCTTAAAGGCAGATCTATGGCTGGGAATTTGCAGGAGAGAATTCTTTTTTCTTGCCAGATACCAAGCCAAGAATGATGGTTTCCATTATCCCTAATGAGTTTTTTCCTGCCTGTTTTTTCCAGAAATGTATCCCTTTTCATCATACTTAAATAGTATGTGTATTAATTATTTTCTGTGTCTCCCCAAATTCCCCACAACAGGGATTTCTATTTGTTTTGTACTGTATCCCAAGTGTCTGGAATATAAACTTGGCTTATAGCAAATTTTCAAAAACTGTGTTATTGAATGACTGAGTGAATAAATGAATCTCCTTTTGCCAGCAGGACTGGTTTTTAGCCCACCCCTTCACTTAGAAGGTAGCTTTCTTAAGGTCTCAGCTCTATGCAGGGCCTTAGTTCCCAGGCCTTATCTCCTGCCCCACAGTGACACTGTGAAAACAAACTGCTTGGTTACTGGTTTTCAGCTTTCTCTTCACTTCTGGAGGTTTCTTTCCTTTCTTCTAAGTTCAACTGGCTATTTGAAAAAAATGTTTGATATACTTTTTCACCCAGTATTTCTACAAACTTTTTAGAGGGAGGATTTTCAGATTATCTATCTGCCATGTTTCCAGAAATGGTTCTACTACTTTAGCAGTTAGTTTTACTCTCAAAGCTTCAGCTTCTTCTTCCATAGAATATAGGTAATACAACCTCATAGGATTTCTTGGAGACTTTGGTAAGAAGATACTTGTAGGTCACCCAGAACCTAGTAAATGTTCAGTATGTAACATTATTATTACTTTTTTTGCAAATTATGCTCCCTTAATTTATTGGTACACATTGTACAAAAGGTTTATGGAAATAAATAGGCTAGAAGTACACAGTGGGCAGCTCAGGAGATCGGGATGTTTGGGGCATGATGGATGTCATTCTTGCCCCCTTACAACAAAGCATTTTGTGCAACGGGTCAGAAACAGAAAATT